TAAGCCAACCTTGGGAGGCTCTATATTATGGCAAGAAGGAAGGCATATTGTACATCATAGTGACATATCTGATGTATAACATTCCTTCCCATGGCTACTCTGTATCAATGACATCACTCATCTGTGAGCTAGTAGAATTTGGTCGAAATGAAACAGACGTGATGTAATGATCTTGTCATGGTTATTAAAGAATCTAATATCAAAACGAGGTTAGGGGGCATCGCTAGGTATGTAAAAATACATATAAGTAAATAATGGTATTGTTATACATGTTTCTCTCCTGCTCTCGTGGTTCTAGGTTCATACAGTAATGCGTGGGAATATATTTTGGTATTTAGAGAGAAAAATGAATATTTCTGTATTTATTCCGCTTTCTCTGAGGTTTAGGGCATGCAAGTGTATCCATCTCAATCTTGCTGACCCAGTAGTACTGGCAGTACCTTTATATTTAATGTTATTACACACGGTGTCCAACCCAAACAATCTTACATGCACGACGGAGGGTTACATTACTGAAACTAAACAAAGAAATGCTCCGGAGTAGGAAAACTGGCGGGCAGGAATGATGAGCCGTCTGACGATTTCCCCTGCTGTATGAAGCAGTAAAGTTATCAAAATTCATAAACGTATTTGTCATTCTGCTGGTCAAAACCCCTTTTGTCGAGACATGTGATTAGTTGAGCCAAGATTAGAGCACCAATGTATATTTTGGTCAAATTTCAATACACATTATCGTAATTGTAATTTGATGACCGAAAATCCAGTCTTACAATGATGACATTCTAATATTTAAGAAACGCTGCCACCTGGTTATCACAGTGAACTGGAAACGCTGCGGTAGTCTAGATCTATTTAGGAAATATATAGCTTGACTTTCCTTTTCAGGAAGAGAAAGAAAAGATATATTATACCAATTGGCATCAAAAGAAGAAAGATTAATTCACATATCAACTTTTTGTTTTTGTCAATAGTTTTATGTTTTAGCACAGATGTAGGCATAACATCATCTAATGTAGGCTTAGGTCAGCTAGTTGCACGTTTAGCACCACCAGGTTGGGATGTTTCAATTTGCCTAACAAGTACAACACGTTTTTGACAGATAGATTCGATTCCAAACTCTTCTCTAATAACCTGAAAATAATATCAAAACAAAATGGTAAGAGCATTTCTAAAATTGTGTCCTAAATCAACAGAGCGTTTCGAGAAAAACAAGCGATTTCTCAAGAACAAGTAATGGTTTTGGACTGGGATTTTAGAAAATGAGAATATACAAGTTTGTGATCTACTACTTTGACAGAAAGATTGACGTTTTCATATAAATACTAGTTTAATTCGAAATTTGTCATAAAGCTTTGATCAAGCAAATAACAGTTTACCACCAGAAGTTGAATAAATAAGATCTTTGCTCAGGGTATTGTTCATCGAATGGTACATAATATGTCACCATAACATGATATGTAAGAGAAACGAGTGATACAATACTTACGGTCATAGTGGGATCTTCATTAGCCACAATTTTATTTCACTCCGCAGCGTTTCCGCGTGAATGAAACACTCCATCATGCATGTAAGAGCGTTTGGGTTGGACACCGTGTTACAATTCAAACACACTAAATGCCATTATAGCCTAAATGTCATGGGGACATTTAAGACATAATAAATTCCATAATAAATAAACTATTATGACATCAATATTTTTAATCTCCTAATAGAAAATCCCTATTAAGAGTGAAGTTCTAAGTAAAATATCAGTTTAGCTATAACCATGCCTGTTAAAGCATGAATTATTTTCTGATTCATCCACATATTGTAAATATTTGCAATTGTGTGTATCATGACTCAATGATACTTAGGAGATAGCTAGGTGTGTTCTAATCTCAGGTTGGACTATTTGCTTACAGTGGAATTTGTTTTACAAAATATTCTTAATGTTTTGTCTGTGCTGGTAAAGGAGGAAGTGGTCTGTGGTTGTGGGTCATTATTTAACTTTTGATGGGATCAGGGATCAACCCTTACCCCCTCCCCTGGAAATCATATTTATGGGATATTGATGGTACCTCCTAAATGGATGATGTGGTCCTGAGGAATGTAAGGTTTAGTAATTATATATGGAAGATATCAGTAAGGTTTACATTTTGCATTTGCTTTGTTGACAATCATTTCAAAATGTAGGAGGAAACTTCGCAGGTATATAGTCACATAATGTTTAGTCACATATGACATAATGTATAGTCATATATGATATAATATATGGTCACATATATGATATGATGTATAGTCATATATGATATAATATATGGTCACATATATGATATGATGTATAGTCATATATGATATAATAAATGGTCACATATATGATATGATGTATAGTCATATATGATATAATAAATGGTCACATATATGATATGATGTATAGTCATATATGATATAATAAATGGTCACATATATGATATGATGTTTAGTCATATATGATTTAATATATGGTCACACACATGATATGATGTATAGTCATATATGATATAATATATGGTCACATATATGATATGATGTATAGTCATATATGATATAATATATGGTCACATATATAATATGATGTATAGTCATATATGATATAATATATGGTCACATATATGTTATGATGTATAGTCATATATGATATAATATATGGTCACATATATGATATGATGTTTAGTCATATATGATTTAATATATGGTCACACATATGATATGATGTATAGTCATATATATGATATAATATATGGTCACATATATGATATAATATATGGTCACATATATGATATGATGTATAGTCATATATGATATAACATATGGTCACATATATGATATGATGTATAGTCACATATATGATATAATATATGGTCACATATATGATATAATATATGGTCACATATATGATATGATGTATAGTCATATATGATATAACATATGGTCACATATATGATATGATGTATAGTCATATATGATATAATATATGGTCACATATATGATATGATGTATAGGCATATATGATATAATATATGGTCACATATATAATATGATGTATAGTCATATATGATATAATATATTGTCACATAAATGATATGATATATAGTCACATATGATATAATATATGGTCACATATAAAATGATGTATGGTCACATTTGATGTGATAATATTAATATTATATGATCACTTGAGATGACATACAATATGATATATAGTCTCATTTTGTATCATAAATAAATATGTAGTTATATGATATAATATACTATTTGTTGGAACTAAATATCTTTTCACTGACGTTCATATGTAAAATAGTGCTGATGTACTTTTGAGTTTGATATACTGTAGTTCTAACTATCTCTTGATTTATAGAGGCTTGTTTGTAATATTTGTAAATGCTGCCCTTTGTGCTTTTTCATCATCAAGACATCAGCAAGTATATAATAAGTGATTACTTACTGCTGCTAGCCTTTAATATATGTACTTAGGGAGTATTAAGTGGAATGATTATACTCTGTTATATTAGAGGGAGTACCAAGTTTGGTCGTAGTTTATAGGTCAAGTATTTTTTCATTCAAACAATTAACCACAAATTCTTAGATTAAGGAAATAAAAGATTAAAGAAGTATTTAGTGTATAAATCTAATTGTTGGGGGCATCTCAATCTGTTTCCTAAACATATATAGGAAAATAATATGAGGGTTAAGATATATCTATTAAGACTTTACTGATTAAAATAATAAAATTATATCAGGTTTTTAACTTAAATGATTGAGTTTTTGTGTTTTAGGATTTTAAAAAATCATTTAAAGGTTTTGTAAAAAGTAACTTTAAATGTGTTGTAAACATCACCTTTCAATTTATTACCTGGTATATACATGTATATATATTTGAGCTTGGAGTTCCTATCTCAATGGAGTACAAAGGGGAGCCCAAATTTTGAGGCAGCAAAATATATTCCGCGCTTGGGTGAAAGAATTTTGGGGTGCCTAAAACCCCAAATTTGGCCCAAATTTTGAAAAATTATTGCCCATTTTGATAATTTGGCCTTATTAAGGCTTTAAAGGCCAAATTTTGTCCAAAGGGCGGATTTTTGAGGCCCTACAAAATTTTGGCCCCACCCCCCCCCAAAAAAATGTGCCATAAAAATGGGCACACAAAAGTGGGCCAATAAAGGGGGGGGGGTAGGCCCCATGATCCACCAGTGTATCTTCTCAAGTAAAAATGATCCTGTCAAAAATCGCATTTACTTTTGAGATGTTCCCAAAGTTGCTGTCAGTATGTTATTATTATGAATTACCAAAAGATCACCCCTCTGAGAAATATCTGCCTGCTCATACTTATTCCATTCAATTTCTCTCTAAAATTTGAATGAAGTTCCTCATTTTCTGACATTTCTTTACAATTTAGGGTCTCCCTTTCATGCTTTTGTATTTTATTCCTCGGATTTACTTCTGCATTTCTTGTAATTTCATGTTTTAAATCATACCCATCATGGATTTCTGTCCATAGATTTTAGGTTAAAGGTGGCAGGAAAGAACCCTCTGAGGCAGAGAGTATTTCAGCAGACCTGTCAAACTTTCCAGTTGTGTTGTGCCTAATGACCAAACCACTTAAGACAAGTAAAAATCATCAGAGGAAAATTGCAAGAGTCCATCAGTCAATCAGTTCATCATCAGTCGATCAGTTCATCATCAGTCAATGAGATGTTTATTTACAGAATTCCAGGATTGTACGAGTCTCACTAACCAGGAACAAGGATACAAACTTCATGATTTCAACATAAAACACGGCAGATCAATGAAAATAGCCCTTAAATCTGCACTCTTATTTTTACAGAAACGCGAGAAAATGGAAATGTGTGGAAAAACATAAGCTGTTAAATCTTACCAAAATCATTTTGACCCTGAGGCATTTTACTATAAGTCTTACAATTGGTGTTATTTAGATGAAAGACTGGATTACTTTGTAACTTTAATAATTCTCTGTAATTCAGGAATTCAACTAGCTAATACAAGGACATATGGAACCACATTTCCAAGACATTTGAAAGCTTAGGACAAGACAGCAAAAGGTAAGTGTATGCATGTTTGTTTTTTTGCTTCGAATATTGAAAAAAAGGAATTGTGTACAGTGATATCATCTTGAAGAACCATCCAATTTTGCAACATTTAATTTGTGCAGAAATATCTCCATTCAAGTTAGGAAACACATTTTTCAAATATGATGGGTTATTTTGTTTGTGGCCACACACAACAATAAAAGTTGGGATACATGTATCTGCATATATATGTTAAAAACCAAGGATTATATTTGTTGAATCCAAAGTCAGTTGGAGTGTTCAATGATAACAGCCTTGTGGTTGTCCATAAAATAGTCTCAAAGCAGATGAGGTTACCCATAAAATAGTCTCAAAGCAGATGAGGTTACTCATAAAATAGTCTCAAATTAGCTGCTGACATTGTTATGTTTGACTGTGAGCATCAAAGGAAACTTTTCAGGGCATTTAACTTTTGCCTAAATGCTGCCTTGGTTAGTTATATCAGTTATATTTACTATGTCTTTCGAGGGTGAATGGAACATCTGATTTTTGGTAATTTTATAGACTTTTTGGTGTTTACTCTATGGTTGTTTACTTTATTCCTTGTTGATTCCACTCTTTTTCTCCATTTAAAGTTAAATTATGACTCTCAATACATCCTTGTTGCATATTGTTAGACCAGATATATTACAGACTAGTTGCTTTTGACATTTAGTAACACAACAAAGTTGCTCATACAAAGGGCCCTTCTAGTAAATTATCACAGGTCATGTTTAAAAACTCCAAATTCTACAAAATAGACCTGTATTATTGAAGTATAAAATATAGGCAAAAAGCCAAGACTCTACATAATATAGAAATATCAGAAAATCATAGACTTTTATCAAATTTTAGAGAGAAATGGAATGAAATAAGCATGAGCAGACAGACATTTTATATCATCCATGCAGTAGTTGTAGTACTTACTGGCATGATTGATTTAACATTGGTTAATGAGCATGTAACTGTATTTACCAGGAATGTAACCTTTCTACTTATTAGTTGAAATCAAAGTGGTTTGCAGAGTTTTAAATCGATACAGTCCTATTCTAAAATAACATAATGTAATAAAAGTACACCTAATCGAAAATGACTTAAATATGTGCTCTTATTTTTACATAAGTTTATGCAGCTATTTTGAAAAAGATTAAAAGTTCTAAATAAAACAAATAACTTATCATTATGTGAAGTCTATTTTGAAATAAATTAAAACTGAAGCTCAGTTGCAAAATGACATAAATTTGAAGCTATTTTAGAAACCTAAATATTTCCTTCTATATCAAAAAGAGACTGCTAGCTTTGGAAGGTTTGAACATCGTTTTTATACTAGAGCGAAAGAGAGTAACAAAGTTAATTGAACAGTACGGTACACCTTATTTTTTCAATCAATTGAATCTGTTTATCTCCGTTCACATCCTGTTTTCTGTCCATCACATTTCTAGCAATCTGAAATAGAGGTCACATTTGAGAAAACAAAATGCAGGCCATAAAATTATGAAGGTTATATTCTAAATTGTATGAAAATGTATGAAAATCTTATATTGTTCATTCAAGTTTTAAAGAAAAATTGTGTAAAAAGCCCTGGCTGAGTGGTGTCTGAATCTCAGACTCTTTGTCTCTCTCCTCTTGTAGACTATAATGTAATGATATGTTAAGCTCTACTTGACTCCTACCGGGTAAAACATTTCCCTATTATATTCTCTCTAATCTAGTTAATGTACTTTTCCTTGTTCTTGTTAGAGTTTATTTGTTAATTCTCTTCATGGAATTTGATTTCATCCCTTGATTATTTTCTAAAAAGCTAAATGTGTAATAAACTTTTAGTCAAATCACAACTTCCCCTAGAATTATCTTAGACATTCTGATAGAAGATCAAATTATATTTTCTCTCTTTGATGGTTTATGTTACAATAACTTAGCACTAACAACATAAACACAGTTATTCCATTTCCTCATTTAGTAAAACTAAAATGTTCAGAGTGGTCATATTTTCAAACATGAAATTCATGAAAAAGACAGGAGATATACATGAAAAAGGTAAACAGGCATGAAGTTTAGACGCCAAAGTATACAAAAATGTGAGAATATCAGATACATCATTCAAATTTTGGGGAGAAATTGAGTTAAATAAGCATGAGCAGACGGACATTTTGTGCAGGGAGTTGTTGAGAATGTTTTGCAAAACATTATTGTGTCCATGTGTGATTAGACTGCGATATGTTTATCTTCCATCTGGGAGGTTGCATAAAAAGCTGAAAGTGTTTAAACATTTGTACAGTTCTAATGAACTGTGGTTTTCATAAACATCCCTATGCACAAATTGCACTTCATTGCTTACTCAAAATGTCTGTCTACTTTTTCTATTTCCCTCATTTCTCTTTAAAATTTGATTGAACTATCTGACTTTCTTGCATATCTGCACAGTTTAGGATGTCTGCTTCATGCCTGTTTACTTTATTCCTTGCTGATTCCTCTCTTTTATATCACATTTCAAGTTTTAAAACATGACCACCAAAGTGTATTCCCTGCACTTGGAGTCTGTTAAGATGAAAGCATCATGTTGTTATCACCTGGTTATAGATAAGAGTGTCAGAAGTGTGCCACATCTTATCACATACCAACTAGTGCTTTTTATCCCACTTCTGAAAACTGCTATATTGTGGCCACCTTCTGCTGCTGGGTATGCATTCTTGCAGGCACCTGTTATCACAGGGGTCCATAATATTCATGTTTTCTAAATTTTGACAGTGTTTTTTATATTATCCATGTAACTTGACCAAACATATCTGCTTGGATCTAACATATATTTCTTCAATGCTTTAAACATTTTCTACAGTTAGGTATTAGATGCTCAGTGATTTCATTAACGGCGTCCTTCAATGGAGAGGACGTAAATCAAGATTGGGTGGACGTAAATTGAAAAAATAATTATGTTTTTGGGACGCAATTTGAATTTCATAAATCACTTCGTGAATCCACTAAATAATTGAACGAATTTCTATTTCTAAAAGAAATAAAATTTTCTTTTTAAGTTTCCTTCCCGGAAGTTGATTTCTGATTGAAATAGTACGAGGCATGTGATAGAACAAATAGTTATCCAATTTGATATCCGAGCAGTAATCAGTACGAGTCTTACGATTGGCCGCTAGCTGAAGACCCGATTTAAACCATTTTCTATTAGTCAAGTGCGATCACAAGATCCTGAACCAAAATATTGAACTTCGCTCAGATTGCCCCTAAACTAAAGCAAAATCAGTAGCTAATTGCTTCGAAATACACAAAGAAAATGTGTTTCTAATTGTTGAATATAAGTTATACCTCACAAGTGATGGTATCTGTATCATTCAATGACATACTAGACTCGCCAGAACACTGATTTAGACTGATAAATAGCAAAAGCGATACAAAATTTCATTAATTTTATTTCGGTTAGTGTAAAAGCGTGACTTTGAATTCCCGGGAACATCTTTTCAAGGGACGCAGTTTTTTGAGGGGAGACGCATTTTTTGAAAATCGTTATGTCCCAGGGACGCAATGTTGGACAAACCTACTGAAAACACTGATGCGGAATTCATGATGCTATCTGCTTGCATCTAACTTATATATTTCTTAAATGCCGCCTGCCTATGCTTCTATTAAAATCCAATCAGACTGTCTCTTTTCAGTCTGGCTCAAGGAGTTTTGATTTTTGTTTTGATAAGGATTGTTACTAAACTTATTGTGATTATACAAACATATTTAAACCTTCATTGAAATTGGAGATGACTTTGTAAGTAGATTAAGAAGTACTGTGCACCATCTATAATATAAGCAGATGCTGTCTAAAAACATGAGAGGGTGGGGCGGTTCAGGGGCTGATCCAGAAACCAAAAAGTGGGGGGGGCATATTTGAAGTCTGAAAAAAATCCGCGGTTGCGCAGAATTTTTTCGAAAATTTAAGGTCTATTTTCCCTGAAAATTTCACCTAAAATTAAAAGATATGGGGTTTAAATGTCTTTGACCTATGACTGCTGACCTGTACCGGCGATTACTAGAGTGCTGCTAACTGGATAAAAGGCTGGCGCTGGCTAGAATTGTCTATGGTTCTAGCCAGGATAAAGATACCAGTTCTTCAACTCGACAATGGGAAGAACTGCTCTACCTTAGTGACTAATATGTCATTATATGACATCTAAAAGAGTCAATAAAAGATATATATATATAAAGGCCCAATTTTGCCCAAAAAGACCATTCAAAAGGGCCTTTAAAATAGTTTTGGGCCCAATTTTTTCTGTGGGAAAATGTTTTAATTCTCCAAAATGATAAAAATGGTAACCATGAAAATAGACAAAGTTACGGAAAATCTCCTGTTTTCCTGGAGTAAAGTATATATTTTAGGGATTTTTAGAAAATAAACTTTTAGAAAATGAGCTAAAAATATTTTAAAATTGAAACAATTTTTTGTTTATCGTGCTCGTTAGATCTGATTCCCTCTTTTATACAGGTAAATATTCAGCCTAGAATTTATGATTTGAAAATGTGCACAGGAAAAGATTTAAAATACATTTTTGGCCAATCCTTCTTCAAATTCTGATTAGATAGATTTATTTAAATTTGGATTTCGGAATGTTATTAAAAAAGACAAATTATGATTGGGTAGTTGTATTTTAGGTGTTGGAATTGAATTCAAAAAGACAATTTATAAAAGAAATATTTAATTTCGCAGAGTGAATAAAGCTTTCTACTAGAGTCTCAAAGTCAAATTCTATGCAAAGGGTAACTTCTTAATAGCTAACTCCAAATGCATTGTCTGTCTTTCTCTCATAATTCCTCTTTCACTCTCTTCAGATACATTTTAATAATACAGTAGTTTGATCAACTAGACTACAGGGTACATTACCAAACATTACCACCATGAATTGGTGTTTAGCCAATAGTTTGTAACATGATGGTGCAAACACCAACTGTGACACATATATGAATGGCTAAACTTGAAATGTCATGGTAGTACTGTTTTAAAACTTAAAATAACACAAATAGAATGAAATTGGCTAGAAATGAATTGAATAATAATAAAATGTATGTTGTAAATTATATAAAGATGGTGATTGATTAAAATTGTGCTGTAAGGTATAAAGAAGGTTATATAATAAAATGATATTTTAAGCTCAGGTAATACACTTTGGTAATATATTTTTGTAATATTAATTCTAAGCTGCACTCATTCATTACATCTTAAGTATTTAGTGAGAAGTTTCTCATGAAAAATGTGTTAATGAGAAGTTTTCACGTATATACTGAATGTTCAGATGATTGGAACTGAATGGAGAAAATAAAACTAGAGAAATAAGAATTTGTGAAAAGAGAACTTATTCAGAAAAAGGGCATTATTTCAAATGTGGAGTTTTAAATGGATTGCTATTTAAGGTATGTAACTTTACAAGACATTGCATTTCATGGATAGCATTGATTAAACTTGACATTTCCCAGAAACATATATTGGATGCTATAATTGCAATTAAACAAAGCAAAACAAAGACAGTGATAATTACATGTTTGATAATTATTTAATTACAATAGTTATCATCTCAAGACAACCATGCTGTGTTTTATTGACCATAATTACCTTTTAATTACAGTTTAGTATAACTTTTAGACAAAGGTCTTATTCAGACTTGCCTGGGGAAATCTCAATATGGTTTCATTTCAGATTGTTCACTCAAATCTCTGACATTTTAACTTGGAAGCTATAGGAATAACATTTGCCTTACAGTTCAAGGCATTTTCAAGGTGTTTGGTGAAAAGGTTGCTGGACTTTTTATATATGACTTTTACAAACTGACATTATAATAAGAAATATTGAGACATTTAAGGCATGAAACATGAGACAGAAAGACATATAAACAAGTGAGATATATGAGAGACATACATGTGAGACGCAAAGACACATTAACAAGTGAGACACATAAACACATGAGGTACATCAGAGACATTGACATGTAAGACACAAAGACACATAAACAAGTGAGACACTTAAACACAGAAGATGTAATTTACATGTGAGACAACTAGGGCTTCCCTCTGGATATGTGAATTGTGATTTATGACATTTTAGATATTGATATGAATAATTAAATCATTGATATGAATAATTAAATCACTGATATGAGATAACAGAGTCAGATGAATTCATACTACTGGAGGGACATGTTGGATTTTATGCTAAACATGGATTATATTAGGGAGGCATTCTATGAAGTATAAGAATACTAGGCAATGTAAGAACACTATAAGATAAAATAATATAACTTTTACAATATCAATTAAATTTGTAGCCTAGTCATATGTCAGCAAAACTCAATACTGATTAGGACTCAAGACAATGCAAACAAAGCAATATTCAGGAGCATATGATAAAACAAAAGTATATGTTGGTCATATCGCCTTGGATCTATATACAGAAAAATACAAACTGTAGTGTAAAAATGGAATGAATTTAAGGAATATTCGCACCATCAATTACTAGATTAGATTCTGGTTCTGGAAGAGAAAGAATTTTGAATTGATTGCATATTAATTAATGCTAATTTAATTTCAGATCTACTCCAATATAATGTAACAACCAAGAAAGACACAATGTGATATGATGCTGTTTATAAACTAAAGAAATCCCTAATATGTAAGTTTTAGCTTTCTAAAATGGGAACAATTCATTATTTGTAAGCACTTCAAAATGTGAATACCTTCACCATGTAATAGTTACACCTCAAAATATGAATGCTTGGTCAAATCATGGGCTTTCAATTGAAAGCCCATGGTCAAATACAACAATGTGCTATTTGAAGTGTTTACATTTAAACTTATTAACATTTCAAGAATACAACAATTTGCTATTAGAAGTGTTTACATTTGAACTTATTAACATTTCAAGAATACAACAATTTGCTATTGGAAGTGTTTTAAACTTATTAACATTTCAAGAATACAACAATGTGCTATTGGAAGTGTTTACATTTAAACTTATTAACATTTCAAGAAAACAACAATTTGCTATTGGAAGTGTTTTAAACTTATTAACATTTCAAGAATACAGCAATTTGCTATTTGAAGTGTTTACATTTAAACTTATTAACAATTCAAGAATACAACAATTTGGTCTTGGAAGTGTCTACATTAAACTTATTAACGTCATTTCAAGGTGCTTACATAGCTATGTATTAACATTTGAGGTGCTTTCAAAAAAAGTATTTATTATTAAAAACCAATATTCATAATTGTCAGCATATGCTCTTGGGGCTCAGATAGACTCATAGAATAACACTTAAGAAGAAAGCATTGACTCACAGAGTTAATATATTATTATACCATGCAATTGTAGAATTACAAATATATATATATGAGTTAGTTATTTTCAAAAGGTGGAGTGAAGTGTAGTACCTAGTTTGGTCAATAGAGGGAACATTAATCTGTCCCCGGGAGGATTTTCCCCGGGAATGTTACTATAGGTGAGTAGTATAATCAACAAACGGCGCCCTTTTCAATCCCATCATGCATGTCTTACTTCAAATATATACGTTTTCTGATTGGTGAATTTCTACTTGGGAATGCACCTAATTAGTTTTGGCATGCAGCTCAATTCGATATCAAAGAAATTGTAATCGAGCTAATTTGTGCGTCCAACGGTTAGCTAACAGCAATCAAAATCATCTGTACTACCCAGCAATATTTTGGTTGATGGATAAATGAGAAATACGTTATTACATGTGAAGTGACTATATGATTGATAAACCTGGTAACATGAAACTGCATCATATTCTATTGTCTTTGTAACCAGATATATAAAACAGTTTTATATATCTTTGTTGTAACATGAGGAATGTATGTAATATTTGTAAAGTGAAGATTAAAATACAATCATTCAATTTGTCACTAGCGGTAATTTAGAAGATGTACAATGTATTATGATTGGTCTCAAACCCAGGGGATCCAAGGGGGAAAAATGAAACATCTATTAAAAGTTGATGAGGTCCCGATGAGGTCTCGCAAAAACAAATGTAATAGTTGACATTTATCCTTTAGAAATAACGTAGTGTTACTACTTGGTGTTACTATAGCTGTACCATCGATTCTGTGAATAAGGTACGAATGAAATTGTGGTCCAATGCATTATTTTAAGGGATCGAATACCTCTGATCAATGTTACTGTGACGGAGTGATTTTCATGTTGTATTTTATAATTAATATCTTATACTTTTACTTTGTTTTTACTTTGTAAATTAATTAATGGAAACATGATACAAAAAGCATTTAGATAAACAACAGGTCATGTAGTACACCTGGGATATCTCTGGTCAGTTTCTCACATTAAATATGCAATCATTACAATTGTTCAGAGCATCTTCAGACTTACAAATGTTTCTTTAATTTACATTTAATTTACATTTCTATATCTTGGATTCTAATTAGGATTTGAAGCAGTCTTCCTATTGTTAAACTTTTTACATAACAGATTTGAAGTGATCATGTGATGTCTGGTTTTGAAGAATATACTATATGCCATGTGAGATTTGGGTCACTTTTCGGCCTAGACTTCAAAAAGACATAACTAGATTTAGCAGTAGATTAGAAGTGAAAACAAGTGAAATAAATAAAAGATAGAAATTAAAACATCACACTATTGTGCACAATTAATATAAAGAAAGCCCGGTCATATTTTGGTGGAGCTGCCTGAGGTTTAACAACAATGGATTTATCAATATTGGACAAATTCCATGGAAAATCAGAAGAAAACGTTATTATTTGGTTAAACACTATTGACACATTCGCAAATTTAAAGAACTGGAACCAACAAAGAAAATGTAGTTTAATCCCACTTTTAGTCAAAGGAGAAGCAGCAAAATACTTTGAACAATTAGAGGAAAATACAAAGAACGACTGGGAGGAATTGACGGAAGCACTTAAAGAAAGGTTCCCACCCAAACAATCGGAAAGATGGGAGTTGTTGGATAAATTGGATACTCTCAAACAAAATGATATGTCTGTGGATGATTTCCACAGCAAGCTCATGTATTATACCAGCAGACTAAAAAAGGATGCTGAGGATGTTAAAGAACTCTTTGTCCAAGGATTGAATACATCTACAAAGAACTTTGTAAGGCTCAAAGAACCTGAAAATTTAGAACAAGCTGTTAAGTTCGCAAGGATTCATAGCAACATGCCCCAAGATTCAGCGCCAGAGATGTTAGCAGCCTCGATTAAAATTCTCACGGATAAAGGCGATAAGCTATCCGTTGCTGCAGTCACAGTCGATGCCATGGGTCAACGCTATGCCAACAATAACCAGTTTCCAGTGCAACAAAGTGCCCAAAGACAGCAGAACCAGTATCAACCGCAGAATCAGTACCAACCGCAAAAGCAGTATCAACCGCAGAATCCGTTTCAACAACAGAACCAATTTCCTGGGAATCAGCAGTTTACGCAACAACAGAAACGGTATCCCCAACATGACCAACAATTTATGCAGCAAAATTCATCAAGCAGAAACCAGTGTGAGAGGTGCGGTAAGTCAAACCACCTTTCATTAAATTGTTATGCTAGGTTTAAGCAGTGCTTTCAGTGTGGTCGCGGGGGGCATTATTCATATATGTGTCGAAACGTTGCTAAATGAGGACTCGCGCCTGTTCCTCATAGGGATGGGCACCTTGAAACTAAAGTTGACAATCAAAAGTTTAAACAAGTGAAAAGTGATAGTGGCAAGGTGGCCATCCCTGCAGTTCAATCAGTCAAGGTTAATTTGCAAAGATCAGTTTCAAACATAATTATTCATACAAACATAGTTGACAATAATATCAAAGCCTTGGTAGATACTGGTGCAGAACAATCCTGTATGAGATTAGCACTCTATGAAAAATTGAACTTGCACAAGAAATGTCCTATCAGACCAACTAATATTGAGTTATATGGGGCTGGGGGAGAAACTCACAGGCTAGAAGTACTGGGTGTGGCAAATGTTCCTCTAAAATTTGAAGAATTTGAGTACGTTCAACCAATGCATATCCTCAAAAGTGCAAATCATGATGTAATTTTAGGTGAGGACTTCTTCTCACAAAGTCAAGCACTCATAGACTTCACACAAAAAGTTGTCATTTTACAAAGGGGAGATCCTATTAAACATAGTACATATACTACTAATGAACCAAGACTAACAGCATGTGTAAATAATGTAGCTACTGGTAGTGAAGTACAAACATCAGGTATCAATCTAGAGAAATGTAAATTACCAGAAGGGGAAAAGGCAGAATTGATAACTTTCATTGATAAAAATAAAGATGTCTTTTCTCAAAACATGAATGAGCTAGGCTGTGCAAATAGTACATATGAGCATGTTATAAGAACAAAATCAGATAAGCCAGTCCAGCAAAGATTCTATAGGTATTCTCAAGAACAGAAAAATGAAATTGACAAACAATGTGACCAAATGTTAGAATATAGCATAATTGAACATTCTGTGTCAGAATATGCTAGCCCTGTTGTGTTAGTGAAAAAGAAGTCAAATGAGTACAGGTTAGCAATAGACTACAGAAGGCTCAATAAAAACACAGAAGCAATTCATTACCCTCTTCCACAATTAAATGACATTATAGATTGCATAGCGCATTCAAAAGCAACAATATTTTCAGTTTTGGACATGCATAGTGGGTTTTGGCAATTACCTCTTAGTGAAAGCTCAAAGCATAAAACAGCATTTGTAACCCACAAGGGCAAATTTCAGTTCAACAGAATGCCTTTTGGCCTCAAAAATGCACCAATGTCATTTCAGAGGGTCATGAATGATGTTTTGAAAGGTCTTACATGGGACTTTGTGTTGGTTTACTGTGATGACATAATTGTTTTCAGTAAAGACATGAAAGAGCATTTAAACCATTTAGACCAGGTATTCACAAGACTTAGAAAAGCAAATTTGAAGCTTAAACCCTCAAAATGTAAACTAGCACTGGAAAAGGTTGTTTATTTGGGTTTTGTCTTCACCAAAGAAGGTATAACAGTAGACAATGAAAAGATCAAGGCAATTCTATCATACCCACAACCTACAAATGTCACAGAGGTAAGGGCATATTTGGGACTTTGTAACTTTTACCGCAGATTTGTTAAGGGTTTTAGTAACATAGTAGCCCCACTAAACAATCTTATGCGAAAAAATGTCGAGTTTGTTTGGGATGAACAATGTGAAAATGCATTTCAAGAATCAAAAATTATGTTGACTACAGAACCAGTGTTAGTATATCCTGACTTACAAAAGCCGTTCATTATATCATGTGACGCTTCAGGTACAGCTATTGGTTACATATTAGGTCAAATAGACGAACAAGGGAGAGAGAGAGCAGTTAGCTATGGAGGTAGGTCACTCTCAACAGGAGAGAGAAAGTGGTCCATTACTGAGAGAGAATGCCTTGCTTTAATTGAAGCAATCAATGAATACCACATATACATAGCAAATGCACATTTTATAGTTTACACTGATCACATCTCATTAAAGTACCTGCAATCAATTAAAGATCATACAGGTAGGCTAGGTAGGTGGTCAATCAAACTTCAAGCATATGATTTCACCATTGAGTTCAGGTGTGGCAAATCAAACTCAAATGCAGATGCATTAAGCCGGAGACCATATGAAGTAAA